ATTATGATGGGAGCCAAGAGTAAAAAAAACTGTCAGAAATCAAGGAACCTCCTTATTTGAAACCCTGGCCATGTTTAATACGAGCATCCACTATTTAAATAGTGGATGAAAATAGTGGGGCCATTTTAACATCAAGAAAGGAATTAAGTATTAAATAGTATTTATAGATTCATCTCAGTATTGGATAAAAAAAAATCATGTATCAGAATTATTTCTTTGCTTGTTTGCCTTTGGTGGCCTTTTCGATGTACCTGTTCTCACCAAGAGAGCATAAAGACCTCTTCTGTCATTTTCTCTCTTATATACATATCCAAGCGCTCTCTCTGTGATACATCATGTCCTTCTCCTCCTACTCATGCAGCAAACCAGTAAAGCATACTGTAAATTAATGAGCGCCAGCAAAGAAAAATAATATCAATCCTCCCACAGATAGTGACACCCACATATCATCAAAAGGAGAAGAAACTTCCCTTCCCCCGTCCTCCCCGCTGACATGTCTCAGCAAGGAAAGTGACAGGAGATGCATGTATGCAGGATTTTTACATGGCACTTAATAAGCTTCCCCCTACATGACACACACACATATGCAGCACACATTCGCAGGGCATGCCCTAAGAGTGATGAAACGCATGCTGACACACGTGCACGTTCTGCACTCTCACATGTACTCACAAGCCTTCCCTGATGATTAGAAACTGGGTCAAGGACAACTTTCTGTGAGGGCAAGGAGAAAAAGAAAATCTGTAATGACAGACGGGCTCAGGCTACAGCACAGAAAAGTGCCCGCAGTAAGAAGAGTATGTATGATTTATAATCCTAGGCACAGTCAGAGATGTGTAAATGAATTGTCACAAACTTGACTACTGTGAGGACAGAACACAGATAAGTTCTTCCACTGTGCATTTACAGAATCTGGTCAAAATGTGCCTGATGGGAACAACTGCTGTTTGCAGCTGTGTTTGTGCTTCACTAAACAGAAGACTCTGTAGGTGAGCCTGGGGTGAGCTTGTTCTCTCGGCCTCAGTTAATGTTATTTTCATGACTTAAGCACAAGGTGTCCTTAGGCAGGTTACAGCATTAGTGAGGGATCACTTCCAACTTGTCACTTTTCAATTATGCTACACCAAACCACTCTTTTTCCAAACCTAACAAGATAGTTTTTAGTGTCAAAACATAAAAAAGTCACCAAAGCCACAGGACACCTTGCACATAGCAGGAAGATACAGGCAGTACCTGCCCAGCATGAGGAGATAATAGTGAGCCTGAAGAACAAATATAACACTGCATTCTGCAGTGGAAAGTCAGAGACTGACATTATTTTCAGCTTCTACGGTGCCTCCAGGTTTGATTTGCTGCTCTTCAAAACCAGCAAATATTCACCAACACACCTGTACTCCATGAGTTGCAATAATAGCTTAATTATACACCTAATTCCAAAAATTCATCCACCCATTCTCTTCCGCTTATCCAATTCAGGGTCACGGGGGTTGGGGTGGGTGGTGCTGGAGCCTATCCCAGTCTATCACATGTAGCGAGACAACCATTTGCACTCAAATTCACACCTATGGGCAATTTAGAATCATCAATTAACCTAACCCCACTAACTGCATGTCTCTGAAATGTGGGAGGAAGCCGGAGTACCCAGAGAGAACCCACACAAACACAGGGAGAACATGCAAACTCCATACAGAAAAAGCCCAGACAAATGTTGGAAGCAAACTCAGGACCTTCTTGCTATGATTCAACAGTGCTAACCACCGCACCACCATGCTGCCCTAATTCCAAAAATACCATTTTCTAATCATCAGAGGAGATGTGTTAATAGCAGCACGATGCAATGATTTAAAAATCCAATTTTATTCACAATAAAATATCAAAAGTTTAAACTGAAGCATTTTACTAGTTCTCAAAAAAGTTGGGCCAGGGACAACAAAAGTGGGACAGAGAGGCAGAAATTCTCAAAAGTTGTCATTATCCTGGGTCTTTGACCCAGTGTTTGAGTGTTTCTTTGGATTTGTCATTTACTTCTTTGAAAGCATAAGTTAATTATGTTCTAGTGTCTGAACATATTATTTTCAGGTGCCGCTGAGTTTGTATTTATAGTTCTGGATTTCTGGTTCATGTCTGTCCTAGTCTCATCTCTGCGTTTTGTTATTTCTTCAGTCTCCCCGGTCACGTCTCCATATCTGTTTCTGTCCCAGTGTCAAGCCCATGTTTGTTTCTCAGTGTGTGTTACTTCTTGCTTTACTTTGAGAATCTCCTGTCTCGTGTGTATTCTGTTCAGTTTTGCTTCCCTTGTCTCATTTGTCTGGATTAGTGTCAGCTGTGTTCCCACCTGTGGCCTCTTCCCTCGTTATCCTGCTTGTGTATATATTGTCTGCATTTCCTTCTCTTGCAATATGGTATCCTTGTGTCTGTATTTGGGTCTTACCTGCACCAGGCATACCATCCCAAATTCTTGGGAACTAGGTTTGTATATAGTTTAGATAAATAGTTTTACAACCCAGCTCTTAACATAAAATGGAGACCAAAACTAGAAATTTAAAAAGCACGAGTCTCTAATTTAAATGACTAAATTGATTAAAATAAAATGTACAGATTGGAGCAGCAAGGAGATTATGATGGTGAGAGGTGGTGGTCCTCTCCAAACCAACCCAGGCACGCCTTCATCCACATCTTATTAACAGCTTTTAGCCAAACATAAAAATCGTTCATCCAAGCAACTTTAATTCCACAGCAATACAGCAGCTAAGTCTGAAGTAGGAAAGGACAAACACATACAGCTGCAGAGACTCCTTTATTTAGAGATGGTGGCTAAATTAATTTTGCGTGCATTCCTGTCTGATGAGCACTCAATAGAGCAAGCCCTTTTCATTTGTTTGATAAATAACCAAAAGATATTCGTAGTCTGGTCAATGCTTCACCTCCCAGTAGTTGCAGTAAATAGCTCCACAACGGTTTCTTTATTCATTGTTCTTCAGTGTACTTTTCTCAACCAATCAGTGCACTTTGAAGCAAAGCTCAGACCTTAGACCTCTCTCTCCAGCAAACAAAGTAATCATCCACTCAGTTCGGATCAAGAAAATGCACCACAGAACCGGGAACAAATACACAACCAGCTTCTGCTGTGTTACAGTCGCTCTCAGAGTTATTGTGATTCAGAACATCAAGCAGCACATCCTCCCATCTCCAAAACATCATCTCACCCTGCAATACTCTCAATAGCACTTATGACACCAGAGAGCTCGGCTAGCAACACAGCCGGCCCTGTTAACTCCACCCGCCCGCTAATAATACTCATCCTCGGAGGACCGAAGAGGAGAAAAGTGGAGTGGGGTGGAGTGGAGGTAAGAGCACCAGCCCTTACTGTTTGTCTGTGCTGGAGTTCCCTTCTCACTGCAGCTGGCCTCTGCTGCAGTAAGTGAGGAGAGAGGGAGGGTAAAGGTGAGCTGGTGGGAAGTAAGAGGTGGAGGTGTAAGGAAGACGTGCTGATGGTGTGTGTAAATACCCACTGTGTGCCAAAACACACCTATTCAGCACTATTTTCTGCACAGACAGTAATCAGGTCTAACGTGCTCAGGTCCTCTTTTATGGAGGCTTCTTGTCTATTGTTTCATTAGAAGTGTTTGCTGAGCTGTGTGATCTAGGACAGGGCATGAGAGAGGCGATTAATAACTCTGAGCATGAAGGAGCTGTCTTTGGGGCCAACTGCAAAAACTGTGCCACTTCCGTAACAAGGAGGGGAGGAAGCAGTCGGAGCAGTAGCAAATAAGGACAGCGATCTGTTAGCTGGGTTGTGCACATGTGTTTGTGGATCCATCTGAAAATACACTGTAGTAATGGAGTTTGTCCCTGTTCATACTTTTTTGTGTTTCTTTTTGTGTATCTGGTCTATTTTTGGATGATAATCATGCTGCAAAGTGTTATTTTATGCCAGTTTAAAGATAATATCAATATTGTAACTGCGAAAATAAAAATAGTATGTGGCTTTTTCCGCCTAAAAGCAAGTGTAAATTGTTCTTTTAGGCATTAAGTCTTGGTCAGTCCTACAAATTGAGAACCATCTCAAAATGTGTGATGGCCTCCGTTTTAGGTAATCTGTGGAGAGATGTGAATGACAACTCTGTCTCCCCAGATGTCCATGAACTACTCATGCCAACACCATAGTAATCTGATTTGGCACACCTGGTCCAGGATAAAAGTCCTTCAGCTGAAATCTCAGCTTCATCTATGTGATCGTACACTAGATTATGTTACTCCACAGTTGGCAGCCTCACCATACCACTGATGAACATACTTCACATTTCATTTGCTTTCTTGTTTATTTTCTTTTTTACTGGTTACAGTAAATGCTCATATTAGCCACCAACTCTCATGCCTTTCCATTTCTGGTTTGGCCTTAGAGCTGGGTCATGACAGACCGAAGCCAACTGCTGTACAATGGGATTAATAGGAGGTGGAATAGCTTCCCTAAATCAAGACTGCCATAATGCTTTCGGGGATGAGAACAGGATGTCTTCTGCTGCTGTTTATTCAGGGAGTTATGCTGGGGGGCAAAACTTGAGCTCCATATTTTTTGGCCAGTATTTGTTTATATTTTGGCCAACCATTTATGGCCAACCATTTAAAGATGCTAAATCATCTTTTAGTTTGTAATCCTTGTCTGCAATGTACCCCTTGTTGTACAACAACCTTAATTGGATTATTTTGATAAAAACACGCCATGTTCTGGAGCTTTTTTCATGATCTTTAAGGAAATTATGCGGGCCAGCATATACAAATGTAAATAACGAAAACATTTGTATCACATTTGTATGTATGATCAGATTAGGATAAAAAGGATCATCCATTTCCTGATAATCTGATTAAATCTTTAACTAATATTAAAAAAAATTGTTTTGGAAGATTAAAATTATCTCCTTTTTACCACTAACCCCCCTGTACAGAGCTTTAATCACAGTTTAAGACTTTTAATTTAAAAAAATCTGCTTGATCCTCACCTTTTGAGAAGACGGTAGTTCTCGCAGTGACATCCAGGTCCAAGGATGGGCTGAACGGAAAGGCCCACAGCTGTGATAGTCGGTTGAAAAACATCAGGGGCAGCAGGAGGAGTAGGAAGGGCTTGACTGATCCCATGATTAACCTACAGACCTGGGTCCAAGCAGAGACTTGCTCGTGCTCACTGTTTATTGTATGCAAAAAATAAATAAATAAATAATGAAATAAATGTGCAAAGCGTGTATCTTCAGGCCCAGCAGCAAGCAGGCGCAGACTCTTTGATTATCCTCCAGCTGAGAACACACTGAGTCTGTGCAGAGAAAGAGAAAAACAATGTGTATTACTAAAAGAGATGTGATCCTGAATACCAAACTAGATGCGGCTGTCAAAAGGTGGTGATGGAGTTCACTCATTTATGAACAAAACAAACGTTTGCAGGACAAAGACTCCACCACCCAAGTGGATATGTTGCACTGGGCTAATTGAAAGATTAAAAGGATGTCAAAGTGCCAGAAATGTACTTGTTATGCGGCAAATCAACCCAGCTATTGACTGGCCCTTCTTTAGTGGGCAATAAAATAGTATTAAAATAAATCTCATTCCTGCGATGTCTGAAAAGTACATTTAAATCAGTGTGGTGCATTTACGAGTGTAGTATGGAAAGTTGAAAAATTATAATGCAGGATTTTACAACACAAAGATTATTTGGGTGGACAATCCAGGTACAGTAAGAGCTGCCCAACTATATTTGCCACTAATTTCAGGTATTTAAATGTATCTGTACAAGATAAATCACTTCAATCCCACATAATTCAGCTGGTTCTCCAGAAACGATCTTGTCCCGTGATCAGTCGGACTTCTAATCCTCCATTTTTACTGTTCTCAAGATCTGCTGTGGAGAATGGGATTCGTGTGCTGCTATGCTGTGCTCACTGAGGCTGCAGGGTAGAACAAGGACTATGATCACCATCATTACTCCAAGATTGTAGAGCTGAGGTGTGTCCAACTCCACAGAGAGACACTCTGCTTGGAATCCAATCCACTAGCTGAATATTGCTACATTTTTTGCACTACCTACGACAAATAAAATCTAATTCTGTAGCAAATACAGGTGTGTTTGTGTGTGTGAGAGAGAAAGTAAATATATTTAATTACTTTATAGTTAAGGTGTAGATAGATGGTAATAGGAAACTACTAGGAGGTCATGAAACATGATGCTGAACCTGATGCCTACCAGGAACCACATGAATGATGTGTGATATTTCAAAACGTCATCAATGAACTTTAATGAAGAAGCGGCGTGCATAAACTTTCTCACTTGACAGTATGAGCACGAAATTACTTGCTGACACGCATCACTGCTCTCTGATTACAACCAATTAGCCAAAGAGAAGGACTAAGGTGCTGTTACGTAGCAGACCATTTAAAGAAAAGTTTGGAGAGTTAAATAATGCGCCTGCGTGATGTGATCTTGCAACACACATCTCTTAATTAGCTGGGTGCAGCATGATGGATAATCTAGAGATTAGGCCTTGTGCCATCAGCACAATCTTCGCCTGGCTGCCCGTTCCCTGGCTCTGTCACCGATCAAAGGGTCTACGCTGTGAATCACACTCTGCTGCGCAGTGACACTGGAGAATTCCCAGCTTTAATCTCCACGGCTGCCGCTGCTGCAAATCACTCCCAGCATGAAGCACAATGAGGTTGATGACCTTTCAGTTATAAGTTAGGGTGCTAATCCCTGGAGCCAAACTGTAAAATGATAAAGCAGGAGATGAGATGGTGAAAAATTATGATGCATTTGTTTATCCAGATATGTGTACTCAGTATTGATGGTTCGGATTTAAGAAATAAAACTTAATGTCAAACAAACATCCCAAACACACCTACAAGATGTTAGGCTCAAGTGAGGAGCTCTACATATTTTCAAAGCTGTAGACCTATGTTTTTTTTATCAAGATTATGTTTTTAAGTAGGAGATAAATCATTAAACTGTAGTTTCATACCATATCTAATGATAGCAACTGAGCAAACCGATGTTGACTGGCCTCCAGGAAAACTTGGTGCGTAAATCTTAAATTAAAATTACTTTGTTTTCAAGGTTAAGAGCACACATGCTCAAATGGTGAGACCAGGAATATGTTCATCTGCATGAAATAGACTTCAGGTAAGAAAATGAATGCTTTTAACACCTTTGTAATACCTCAGTTTAAAAAAGTGAAGACTGAACAATGCTGAAATGACTTTAAAAAAGCATTAAAACCATGTTGTAGTAATTGTTGCATCAAATTGCCACACATGATGCAGTAAACTCTTAGTCAAACAAAAACAAAGAATTTAAAGGCATAATTTTCATCTGTCACTCTTTACTGTCCAGTGCTGATACCGCTAAAGTTTCGGTATCAGCACTTAAAAAAGCCAATAATTTAAAATGTAAAAACTAAAGAAGAGATGCAAAGAAACACCCTTCAACCATGTTGTAAGTGTTGATGTTGCATAGTTTTTCAACCAGAGGGTTCTTTGCAACTTCCTGCTTGGCAACATGTGTTTGGAACTCCACAAGCACATGAACCTGCTGATCAGATCAGCTGATCTGAGCAGAGTGGAGCCAACGCTTTGCTGACATCACAACTGCAGCCTTCCAAAACCTCCTCTGGCATTAATGCAGCACAAAAACTGAATGCCAGAAGCTTCATGGCATGAGCAGCTCCTGTAGGTGTAATGCATAAGTGGCCTACTTTATTCTTCAAAGTCTATTTGCTTCTGATACTAGTCTTTGTATTTATCTATGGTTTCTGTCAACAGATACAGGCTAAACTGTTGCTGTGCTTCATGCATTCTGTAGAAGGCAGTCTAAATCAGAAGTTGGCTTTATATGATGACAGTCGTAAGAGATTTTAGCACTGTGCTCTTAGAATTTGTCAAATTCACATCCTTGTTTGAAAAAAAAAAGAAGTAGAACCAAAACAAAAAGCTTTTTTCCCAGTCCACACTGCTTCTTTTAAAATTGTCATTACCCAAAATGAATAACACTCCATTGAGAGATTATAGTCAAAATTTTTGCATTTTTAAACTTTTACACTCAGCTAATGCTGACATCATTTGTGACATTTGTTTTTATCAGTCTTCACAGCTCCCACTAGAAAACTTTTTCACGCACACCTTCGTGCTCACAAAAGCCTGTAAGCACACTTTGATGTACAAAATCGGCGCGGTTCCCCTTCGATATTGCAAGCGAGGGGAGAGCAACAGCGCAACATGTGTCTTGTTTGATAGCTGCTCCAAATGCTAAGAACCTCCAGAATCATGCTCTGACAAAACTGCAGATGAAGGCATAGTGAGAAGCTCTTTGTCCTGTTTTTGTCAACTGCTGTCCTCGTGTAACACACAGCAAACGCACCATTGTCTCAACACATCTGCATTGGCGTGTTTGTGTGTCCTGCCCACAATGGTGTTGACACCAATGTGTTCCCACTTATGAAAGCCTGATAACTCCAAGAGGGAAAGGTAAACACATCTGCCTTGGCAGTGACACGAGCAATGTGACATGAAGACAAGAGGAACTGCACAAAAGAGCAGGCGGCGACAAAAACACCTTGTACTCAGTTTATTGATCCAAAGAGCGGGACAGGTCTGATGGGAAATTTTAACCCAGTTTCTATAACCACAGGTCTCTTGCAGCTGGTGCCCATCAAAAAGATTAAGTCGTCACTCCAGAGTATGAAATATATAAAGAATGATGCAGCTGTTTTCCATTGAGACTAATATGCAAAACACCTAGCCTGACATTTCTGCAGAAAGATCAATAAAACAGGTGAGCTATTCTTGGTTTTCCTTTCAACTGATGCCACTTGAAATGCCAAACACACTCTCATTCCTATGATAGCTGCAGTGATTTTAATGGGCTTATATATTATGTGCTATATGCTATACTTAAATATTATATTTATACTTTTTTTTTATCTCAAAGCATTGAGTGTCTGGCATACAGAGGAGCCATAAATGAGATTACTGAAGTTCACCCTGTGGTGTTCACTGTGATGTGGATACAAATATAAATAATTTGCCTCTGTTTATACTGCAAATATATAGAAGTAAGAACTTTTTATGTTCAGGTCATGCAATCACACGCACAAATAAGAATATGAAATTACTTCTTGAAGCTCTAAATAGAAAGTGATTTTAAACATCTAAAATGACTTTTTTCTGGCTTGTACTACTTGATCTACCACTACATGGAGTTTGATAACAGATATTTCACAAGATGAAGCATTAGTTCAGAGTTTTCAAGATTTTAATGAAATAACACCAGTTTTAATGTGAACGGCAGATCAATTATCAGGGGGGAAAATCACATTTTGTCATACAGGGAAATTACCTTTCAACTAATAAAACTGTTTGATTTATTCTAACTTATTTCCAACCACTATCACAGAAAAAACACCTTGTTATGAAGCTTATGTACAGTATTTTCTGTTTATTTATATCAAGTTTAAGGTGTAAATTGAACTGCTTGGAAAATTTCAGTCTACTAAATATGAAAAGATTCCTTTAATATCCATTATAAAGACTTATCTTCTCTCTATAAGTGTCATCTGTACCCAGTGAAAATACTGGGAGAACAGGATGCCTCTGAAAATGATAACTCTTACTACTATTGTAGAATAAGTAATGAATCACTTTACCCATTCTGAATTTCCCAACTCTGGAAAATCTATCTTATCTTATCTTATCTTGCATCACGGCAGGAAAGAAAGTCGACCTGAGTAATCTACAGCTGATCTACTGGGATTTTCCCACACAACCATAACTAGGATTTACAGAGAATGGTCCAAAAATAGAAATAAAAGAAAGAAATGGTGAGGGGCCATTCTCTGGGTGACACTGGCCTTGTTGATACCAGAACTAAGATACCAGAGTTAAGAGGAGAATGGCCAGACTGTTTCAAGTTGATAGGATGACAACAGTAACTCAAAAATAACCACTTGTTACAATAACATTACACAGAAGAACATCTCTGAATGCATAACCTGTTGAATCTTGACACAAACGGGCTACAACAGCAGAACACCAGATGCCATTCCTGTCAGCTAAGAACAGGAAACTGAGGCTACAAATTAAATGGATTCAACAAAATTAGACAATAGAAGACTGGAAAAATGTTGCCTGGTCAAATGAGTCTCAATATCTTCGGCATTAAATTGATGGTGGGGTCAGAGTTTGACGTGCACACCATGAAAAGACTGATGAATCCTGCCTTGTATAAGCAGTTCAGGCTGTTGGTGGTGTAATTCTAGGTGCCTATGCCATATTTCATTTACAAAATTTGGGCCCTTAATATCAGCAAACACCACAGCCTACCTGAGTATTGTTGCTGACCATGTCCATCCCATTATGACAACAGTGCACCCATCTTCTAATGGATCCTCACAGCAGGATAAAGTGCTATGTCACAAAGTTCAAGCTGGTTTCTTGAGCAAGACAATGAGTCTAATTTACTGAAATGGCCTCCACAGTCAGCAGATCTCACCTTTGGAGTGTGGTGAAATGAAGGACTCGCTTCACGGATTCGCAGCCAAGAAATCTGCAGCAACTCTGTGATGCCGTCATATTAATATGGACCAAAGTCTCTGAGGAGTGTTGCCAGCTCACTGTGGAATGTGTGCCACAAAGAATTAAGGGGGTCCAACCCATTACTACCAAGGTGTGACTAATAAAGTGTCAGCTGAGTCCATATTGATACATTTATTGTGAAATTGTTGTACTGCATGTAAGAAACATGACCAACTCATAAAGTATGCAGATTGATACAGACTGAACTACAAGAAATACAAAAAATTTAATGCTATCAGTCAACTGTATCTTCTTTTTTTGTCTGTTTTTGTCTAATTTTATTCAGAAGTTTTCTCAAAATACATACAGGGTTGGAGGATGGGTCAGTAGCCCATCCCCCAACAAAAAAATCAACTTAGTAACTGTACAAAAGCATACAACAAAGATAGAATTATACAAATATTAAAAAGCGGTTTAAGGATATGGTTTTTACAGGGTACAGGGAAAAGGTAGAGATTTGATAGGGTGTTCTTGTCTAATATTTTCATGTGTGTGCGCATGCACGGGTTTGTTGGTATGGGTATATATATATATATATATATAATTGTAGGCTGTGTATCCTTGAGGTGTTAATGGGGTTATTGAAAATGTGTATATGTGCGTATGTGTGTATATACGTATGTATGGATAGATAGAAACATATATGTGTATATATTTTTTTTTTTTAAATTACACATAACATATAATGTAATTGCAAGGAGGTATTTCTGTAGTCTTTTGATACTAGATAGTGGAAAAGGGGTGGGATTAAATAAGCTTATGCTTCTTCCTGCTCCTTTTTGAACATGGACGTTATTTGGAGTTGTGGTTGCTCGTTTTCCTTTTGTTTGCTTTGTTCATTTGTCTCTTTTAATTCTATTTTTTTTATACTTTTTCAACATGTTCAAAATAAAGATTCAATCAATCAATCAATATTACTTAACATACTTGCATTATTGACATAACAATTTCATGGTTTGCATATGAGGGTTGTGTCAATACTAGTACAGTGCTACACCTCTAGTACTCTAGCCTACTTACTGTATAACACAGCCATATTATATGTTAGCACTCTGAAACAGTCCCTTGTGTCTAAGAAGTTTTATTACTCAGATTTGGCTACTAATATTTAGAGCGTGTACTTTTATCCACATATGTAGGATTTCAATTTGTAATAGAATATGGAGTATTTTAGATATTGAGTATTTTTAATCACTCAAGAAATCTGGCTGCTTCTTATGCCAAAGCAATCTGCCATCTGTGAGATTATTTATGACTTAATAACGTATCTATAAAGCATGAATAAATGACAAAGATTACAAAGTAATCATTAATAAAAGCCACTAGTTACAGCTTTTACAGCGAGACTCGGCGAGAAGTGCCAAAAAGCTTATTTAAGGAATGTATTCAATGAATCTCTCAAGTTTAATGTGCTTTAGAAACCACTGCTCAGCTTTATGTCTACCCATTTAAATTGATGCTTCCTCCAACAGTAAAACACCGCAACGAGGCTTTACAAGATATTAAATCACAGCAGATGTTCTAATTTCAACTTGAAACAATAAGTGACTGTCCTCAATGTCCTCAGAAGCACGCGGTGACACTAAAACGCACCTAATATGCGTTTATGCCATAGTTAACGTCCACAAATGTGGCTGTAATAACTTAATGAGTGTTAATGTAAACAGTCAATGAACGTGAGGACATCTACCCATGTGCACCTGTCCGACCTGGACTGCAGCACTGAGAACCGAAAACAGCACCGCACGCGGTTTGGTCACCTTCACCTGAGCAGCCTCTTTACATCAGCAAATAGAGAGCAAGGAAAAGTGGAAGAAACACGGAGAAGCGGTCCGGAATGAAACATAACAGCAGTAAGGACTCACCTGCTTGTTTTCCTGTAGCTCTGCTCCTAAATCCTTTGAACCGACCTCTCCGCGGTGAAACACAGAGCTTCTCTGCTGCTGCTGCTGCTGCTGCAGTTACCCAATGCTCAAACACAACCGACTCTCCCTCCACCCCCCGACACACAAACACACACACACACACTGAGATCACAGGCTTTCCACAATTTCACCACCTCACATGTTCTTTTTGTTGTTTTGTTTGAGTTTCTATTACTTTTATTTTAAGAGTAAAGAAATTGTTTAGGAAGGATGTTTTTTCACCCATATCCAGATGATATAATAACCAGGTGTACGCTTTTTTGTGATTTTTACTCAATAGATTCGCCTTTTTGGATTCTTGAAAACGAAGGGTTTAAGCTCAATGTTTGGCGTTTCTATTTAAAACAAACGTATAATAATGTTCTTTCTCAATAGAAGAATGGAAATGTGTCAGTTCCACATAGAAGTGTGATTGATTTTAATTTGCTTTAAGAATATTAATTAACTGTTTCGTAAATTCTCCT